TGATCCGTGTGTTTTGGCGGGAACTTGCTCCCCAAGAAACCTTTTCTTAATATTATTATATTAAGATAGATATGCTATCTATAATTATTAACTAGAACAACAACATTTAAGGCTTAGACTTAAAAGATATTGGGATATAATTATTAACTAAAAAAAAATACTTCCTCCTTGGATTGATATTATTATAACACCAATGCATCCGCACAAAAAAAATAGTTGTGCATATATTTGTTTTGATGATCTAATTAATCACAAAAGTAAAAACAGACATTTAAAGTCTTACATAATCCCTAATTATGAGTATAATAATAAAGGAGTATATAAAGTGCAACTACAATAATAGAAGAGTGTATTTGTTAGAGGTTTTAGGGAAACCTCTTTAAATAGAAGAGTGTATGATGAGTTCCTTAATATCCTTATCATGTGCTTAGATCCTCGGTCCATGTTGGTTCCCAACCCTCATTAACAGTGGCGTATCCAGGAATGGAAGTGAGTGGGGGCGAATTCATACTACTTTCTTCGTCTCATAAAATTTTTATCACTTGTTTTTTTGGGATATTCTCATTTCCCTTTTTGAAAAGTTTTGTGTGACTTACATTCATTTATATTTTTCTTACTCAATCAAAATCATACATTTCAACTTTATTCTCACTTTTTTAGAATCCGATCCACATCAAACCGGGAAGATTTTCTGAGCTGGATGGAGTATATATTATTTCATGTATGTCACAAGCACTTGAACACTTTACAAAAATAATATAGAATTCATTATAAATAAAACTATCAGTCGGCAAAAAAAACATGAAACCATACTTAACAAATTTCAATATGTGAGAAATAAATTTGACACAATTTTTTTATTTTTTTGATGTTATTTAATAAAAAAATTATTTTAAATAAGCTAGGGACATGTGGTGTGTATTTAAAATTAGTGTAAATTGTAAATTCAAAATTATATCTAAAAAAGAATTTATATTAAGTGTAAAATGTAATGAAGTATAGTTTAACTCTAAAATAATAGGAAAAATTGATAGTAATAATCCCAACTATTGGCGGTCCGCTCATAATAATCCCAACTATCGATTATTACAGAATAATCCCAACTTTAGGGACCTTCCGCCAATAATGGTCCCTATGAATAAATTCTTGTAGTTTCTAAAGTGGATGTGGTGAGATATAACAAGTAATCCTTATAAATAATCTCAATTTTTAATTTTTACGCTTAATTTCTATTTAAAATTCACTTTTTATAGAGGTAATATATGGTCATGGACCATTATTGGCGGATAGTCTATATAGTTGGGATTATACAAAAATAATCAATAATTGGGATTATTTTCAGCGGACCGGCAATAGTTGGGATTATTATTTTCCATTTTTCCAAAATAATAAAGTTTAACTATTAAAATGTGTAAATATACATTAAGTCACTTTAAATTTGATTAAAAGTTTAAAAAAGAATACAAGGAAGAACATGGATGGGAATTTAAAATGGAGAACATCAAAATGGTTGGAGAGGAAGAACATGGATGGGAATTTAAAATGGAGAACATCAAAATGGTTGGAGAGGTTTCGAACCCTTGACCTAATGAACAAGTTGAGAACTATGCACACCCCTTTCCGCTGCACTACGTTTTTCTATCCTCATAAATAACGCAATTATAGTATATTTATCTATTTTCAGCATATGAATATATGTATATTAATTTTTTAAATATATATATATATGGGGGTTGGGTGGGGGTTGAGTGGGGGCAGCTGCCCCCCCTGCCCCCACGCTAGATACGCCACTGCTCATTAACAGTGCAAGATATAGTTGCCAACAAATTAAAAAGAAGTGCATGCATATATAGATCAACCGTTTCAATCGACTGATTTTGATATTTGTTGATTGTCATAGAATATGAGACAATTATTAAAAATGACACTGTGATAAGTTTAAAGCTGATTGGAAAGAGGACATGGACGTGCTGGGAATGCAAATCTCAATCATCTCTCATATTGCTTCAGGACATAATTTTTGCTCCAATGTCCAACAACTTCAGCATTGCTTTGGAATTGTGAAGATGACCTGATGTTGTTCAAGAATTTGATGGCTTTCTTAAGTAAATTTGATATTTCTTAATGAACAGTCAACCTTTGGTAAAATATCAAATGACTTTGATGGCATTGAAATTGACTAAATCGTGTGAAAGTGATGAAATTGTGGTCAAAATGACTGAATTTGCTTAGTGTGTTGAATTGTGAAAAAATTATTTTTAAAATATACTCCCTCCACGATCTCTTGTTCTTTGGCATTTTCGATTGTCTTGTGTCAACTCAAATTTGATCGGGTTGAGCACAAACCCGACAGGCTTAAGCTGCGGTTGTCACTTCCAAGTTCCAACCCGAGCGAGTTTTGATTCAACTTGACTGGGTTTTGTTACATCACTTATATTTATATTTATCCATCCTCTTTTGGTATCTATATATAATACCCTCTTAAATTCCTTTTGATTCTTACAACAAAATACATACAAAAAATAAAAATTGCATCCTATAAAATAAATCTAAAGAGTAAATCACAAATTAAACAAGTAAAAACAACAAATAATCATAAAATAAAAGACATGTGCATATCAAGCACAATACTTAAGCAATGTGTTAACAAAATCACAATCCAAGAGTATCAAAATACACATGAACAATATTCTTCATCCCTTGCTCCTTTCTCCATCATTTTGGCGTAGGGTGAAAATGGCTCTTGCTCCTTTAGGAGTCCTTTGAGGATTTTCATCCTAGCCTCTCTTTTGTTTATTTTTCTCACCGGCTCACTCATTTATTTGCCATGTTTTTGCTTATCCTTTCGAGCTTTCAACCAAACTTACCTTTTCTTCTTTTTATTCTTTCCTAAAACAAGGTAGAATAAAAATAAGAAGTAGAAGTATCGTGAATAACATGAGTGGTTGTCACTCTCCCATGCTTGGCTCCAGCACTATCCCTAGTGTACCATTTAAAAAAAAAGAGAAAAAACGAATAAAAAGATGAAAAGACCATCTAGGTTGAAAACTCGAAAGGTCAACTCAAGCAAAAACATTACAAATAAATGAGTGAGCTGGTGAGAAAAAGAAACACAAAAAAGGCTAGGATGAAAACCCGAAAATGACTCCTAAGGCCAAATGAGAGAATAAGAGAAAAATGTTTTTTGATTTTGTAGGAACTGTTTTCACCTTACGCCAAAAGGATGGAGAAAGGAGCAAGGGATGAAGAATAATATTCATATGTGTATTTTGATACTCTTGGATTGTGCTTTTGTTAAAACATTGTTTAGGTCTTGTGCTTGTTAAGACATTCTGGAACTTAAATTTGTTTTTACTCGAGATGAGTAAAAGACTATGCACGAGGGAGTATGATATGCACTATTTTTCTAGTGCACAAGTCTGTTATTTTAATATTGTTTGTTTGTTGTTTTTACTTGTTTAGTTTAGTATGCAGTGCACTCTTTAGATTCATTTTCTAGGATGTAATTTGTATTTCTTGTGTGTATTTTGTTATATAAGTACCAAAAAGGATGTAAAGAAGTATTATAGGTACCAAAAGGAGGCAATAATAAACATGAATATAAGTGTTGGAACAAAACCCGGTCAAGTTGAATCAAAACTCGGTCGGGTTGGAAGTGGCATCTAAAACTACCAAGAAGAAACCCGGACGATTTGTGCTCAACCCGATCGGGTTTGAGTTGACATAAGATAATCGAACATGCCTAAGAACAAGAGATCGTGGAAAATCCGATGTGATAGGTAATTCGGTCGGGTTTAGCCTGATCGGGTCGGATGTGATTTGAACACCCTCCGAGTGTTTAAGGTACCCAATCAGGTATCCTACATACACGGTTGGGTACTCTACCTTGTTAGCTCCAAATACATGTAAATAAGTCTCTCTTTACTCCCCAATTAGATACCCATTCTCTTATACTCTTATGCTAAGTTGAGATAAGTGTTTTCTATATATTTATTTCATGTTTAGTATCCAAATGGGGAGCTGAACTCTTCGTTCTTATTTTTCTCTTGAAGCTTGTCGAATGTTAAAGTTGTAAGTTATTTTCTTAACATCTTCCCTTCAATATTAATTCTTCCCTTAGCCCATCTCTATATTAATGTTATGGTGTTGCTAAGTGACGATTAATTAACTCATTGACATTAATTACTATTAGAAACTATCAATGAACCAGCAGTTAATCATTGATGGTTGCACATATAAGTAACTTCAGATCATCTTAAGGGTTTGGAATTTCAGATAAAAGCATGTTGTAGTCATATATAATGGGAAAAATACCTATCTATGAGTAAAACTCATCACAATTCTCAATGTATGACTTGGTATGTTTTTTTACAACCGAATGACTATAGAAGGTTTTTAAAACATGGCATCTGTTTGGTGAAAAATATTCAAAGGCCAAAATGACCTTAAAACAAATACACGTAGAGGGCCTCCAACTTCCCCTTAAGTTTACGAATCTGGAATGAAAATAAAAAATACACAGCGGTTACCATAAATGTAGTATCATCTTAGGAAAAAAGACTTCTATGTCATATTATGGGAAAAGTTAGAACTTTTACTCACACGTAAGGTAAATTTTTTCATATAGAATCGGTAGGTTTAATTTGGATACCTGACCAAGAGCGTAACCAGCCATTTTCTGGACCCATGCCTCCAAATGAAAATCGGATTGGCCTGCTCTAATGTGAAAAAACTAGACTATGCTGTGAAAGTGGTAGTGGGATACTAGGATATGAAAATAGAAAATGGTTCAGATTATTGGATAGTAAGAAACTCTTAGGTGAGTGCGGCAGCTATTCCAGTAGTAAGTGTTTCCAGAAAATGGTACAGATTATTGGATACTAAGAAACTCTGGATAGTAAAAGTGGTTCAGAATATGGTAGGCAGCGACTCCAGTAAGGGTGAAATTCTTTTGTTTTCTTCTATTAGGTCTTTGTTCATCAGTTCGTTAGTGCATGTACAAAATTACTAAACACTTTATTCACTTTGTCAGTTAACATCCCTATTGTAAGCATTGATTTAAAACAACATGGGGGTGGGTGCCTAACCCTTCATGGCTCCATCACAAGGATCTTTCTAAAAGTATAGCTCATACATCAACACTTTACATTCAAAATCAAAATACTGCTAGACAGGCATACCACCAGAAGGGTTCGCCTGGTATCAACATGCCATAAGTTTGAAGGACATTGCAACCTGCTAGACAAAAACAACCCATCATGAATCAATATTTAAAAATTATTGCACTCACCTCTGTCCCAAATTAATGTTCATTTAATCCAGTTCTTTTGTCTGAGCACAACTGCAGTTCTAAGTGTTCAGTGCATATTTTTACTAATCTCCCAAATTTTCTCATATCAACATTTCTAGTTTTCTCACCTTAACAGGCTTTCTCACATCAAACGTTGAATTTTAAAGCAATAGAACAGTGTTTTTGCTAAATAAAGCGGTATTACCAATGCCTCACCGAGTAACAAATCTATGAATTGTCAGTGTCACTTGAAGATGCTGCTCTCTTCACATCATAACGCTGAAAGTGGAGGATCATAAATTAAGAAAATAATATGACTCCAGTGATAAAGATGGAAATGGAAAAGTAAATGAATGAACCTGCTTCCCAAAAGAAAATGGCAAATATTTGTATTTGATCATGTGCAATATCTGTTTTCTCATAATAAGCATGAAAAAGACGACCCAATAGAAAAGGAGGATTGGCCAAAAGACGGGCACATTAAACATGCTGAAGAATGTCAGCGTTAAGGCAATGCAGAATGCTTTTGTAATTGAATACCTTCAAACAAAAATTAGCTCACCAAGTAAGATACATACCAGAGGAAAACTTGCAGCATAATATGGCGGAAATTCTTGAGTACATTATAATTAAAATAAGGGAGGGAAAAGAGCTGCAAAACTATCGGGGGAATACTTCAGAAAATTACCAGAGTTTGAACTCGGGGAGACGACGAACGAAGGGGCGGAAATCGTCGGATTGCCGGGTGGGTAGGGTTGGACCGTTTGAAAATTCAGTTTCCGGGTCAATCTGAGGGGAGAGAAACCCGATGAGAAGGTGAAGGATATAGATTCCGAGGACGTAGGAGACCATGAAGAAGCCTTGAAGTAGTAATATTCGCACTGCGTAAACCAAAGCTATGGCGATGAATGCGATCCAGCGGTAGAGGAGGTGCGGCATAGACTGATCGAGCAAGTGCTGGTATCTCTGGGATAAATAGATGCTAAACCGGGTCACTTCATCAGACGGAGTGATTGCAGCTGCGCCGCTGTCTCCGACGGTGGCGCCACCGGCTACGCTGCCTTCCATCTGCTCTATGTCCATCTTCTAATCTGCCGCTGAAGCTGCTCTATCTGCAATCACGAAGCTCTCTTATAGTCTTATCGCAGTTTTGCTTCTGCAGTTCTGCATTGATTTTGACTTGCGAAGTCAACAGAATATGGGCGGGTTCAATTTCTCAATTTTACGGATCGGATCACAAATTTATTGGTTAGTGATGTATTTTCGGCCGGTAGAAGAGGAGTTTAATGCATAAATGTAATCTTCTAATACATAAAAAAGCAATACTACTACATTATTGTACTCCATTTTCCCGCTCAACCCATCTATCATTGAGACTGTCTATTTTCCTTCGATCGTAGTTGTTACTATTGTCAATTTTCCTTCAAGCGCCGCCTTCAATCCATCATCCTCCACCGACTCCATGACCTCCATCCCCGCTCCACTGTATTCGTCTAAGCCATAAATAAACCGCTTCACCCCTTCACCTTCTATCCTTTATTTTCCTTCGCCAGTGTTATATACTAAGAGATTGTCCTTTACTCCGTTCACTCATCAGGCGATAGGAGCAGCTATGAGATGATCGAAGTTTCTGAGATGCGACAAAAGAACAGACACCTAGGCTTCCTCAGCTCACTCAGCCTCTGACAGAAGCAGATGTCCCTTGTCTTTGCAATCCCTTAGATAACACCCATCAATTCTCAGCCTCAGGTCAGCTCTTTAATTTTTTTAATTTACGTTCATATAAATAATTGTTGTTTCACACACATGTAAAAATATTGACGGAGTCTCGGTTCTTTTATGAATAAATGACTTTATGGCATATGTATTCTCTATATTCTCCATATGGCATGTTTGAAAAAATGCTTATTTGATCTTTCTTTGATAAAATGGTTATGCTTATGTGATCTTTCTCTTATAGTTATGAATGAATGATTCATTTCTTCGTTGAAATTTATCAATTTACAAGAGTGCATATTTTAAGGTTCATGTGGTTTGGTTAGGAACTTAGCAAGTGGTCAAAATTACTAAATTTATTTGAAGCAATGTCTAATTCCAGTACTTTATACTACGTATAACTGTATAAGTTTTGGGATTAGGGTGAGCCTTCACTTGTGACTTGCATGACGAGTTCACTTTTGATATATTATTCCAAAACGGGCATTAATTCAAGATGCAATTCCAATCTAACATGCAAATTTAAGAATAACTTTGAGGATCAGTTTAGCTCATCTTTCTTTTGTTTTTTAAATACCATTAGGAATTATAAACCTCCCAGTTAAGTCACATTAACTCTATTAATAAGTTATGCTTAGATGTTTATCTGGAATGTTTTGCAAATTGTGATTAATTGAGAATAGAACATGGATTGATATTTACTTTGAATGAATTCACAAGATATATTCCATGCTGCTATACAATGAAAAACATACACGAATTGATGTTTACCTGGAATGGTTTGCAATCTATTTTGAAATCAAGATGATGGCGAGAATTAGTTATAGCTGAATTTGGCACGTATCTTTCTTCCCGAAAGGGGCATCTTGCTTATTGGTATTGTTATTAGCCTATTAGGTCAACCTCTGCTAATATGTCATCAGGTTAGCCTCTGCTTATTGCTATTATTAGATCACAATATTCTTTTGAATTTTGTTCTCCATGCAGGTGACACATCGGGTCGGGCCGCCCGGCCCGGAACCGGTACTGTTTAGGCCCGGACCCCGGTTATAGGACCAGTCCGGGCCGCCCGAGCCCAGAATTAATCGGGCCGGGATCAGGCCTCCTAAAAGGGGAACCAGCACGGTTTGGGGCCGGAACCGGCCCGACCTTTTTTTTTTTTTGGTTTTTTCAATTTTTTTTGTTTCTCCTGGGTTGGTTTGGGTGTTTGGGGGGGGGGGGTTGTGGGGGGGTCAGGGGTTAATTAGAAAAGCAAAAGAAATTTAAAAAAAAATAACATGAACCGGCCCGGCCCGGAATCGAACCGGTGCCAACCCGGGCCGGTTCCTTCCCAAAAAAAGCCCAGCCGGGCCCGGCCCGGAACCGGAAACAGCCCAGGTCCATGACTAGTTGGCCATATTGCTATATTAGATCACCCTTTTGCTTTTGAGTTTTGTTCTCAATCGAGGTCAGATATTTAGGTCAGCCCCTGCTTATTAGTATTACTAGATCACCATAATGACATAGGTCAACGTCTTCTAATTGGAACTTTTTACTGGTAAAACAGAAGCAATGTAAATCTGTTCTTCCTTCACAGACTCTTCTTTCCGTGATATCATCATAGAAGTACAAGTTAATTACAGAAAAGAAAATGTTTCTAACAATTAAAGCGGAAAGCTCTGGGAACTAACAGATGGATACACAAAACGACAGCTATCTAATTTGATCCGGATATCTTAATGCAGGCTGCACTAATAATCCTCCTCAATCCTTACAGATTGTGTAGTATGAATTCACCAATCTAGAAGGGCGTGCTTGTAAACTCCAAAAAATCAGTGGCGGAACTGTGGAAGCCCCCGACTATTTTGAAGGAAAATACAGAAAGATGTACTGTATATAGTGAATATAGGGTCTGTACTTTGTACATAGTGTTCACTGAAAGAGTTGGGAATTGCTACCGTCATTTTATTCATAGCCTGCCCGAGGTAGGCGGTATCCATCACCATAAAACGGCACCAGGCTCAACAAACTTGTGGAACCCGTCGCTTTTAGGATGTTTGACCCAACCTGGAAGAGCTCCACAATTTTCACAGTCACCCCCAGAATCACAGGGCCCTAAAATGCACCAGAAAAGGAGGGTGAGAGTGATTTGGCCGCCAGGCTTCTCTTGTTTCCCCTCTAATTCCGCAAAAAAGAGCGTATCATCATCAGCACTTCCATTTTCAGGCCTAGCAATAAAGTTGCAATGATAGAGGAACGTGTGATGAAATAGAGATGGGCAGTTGATACACTGTAGTGGCTCAACAAGCTTGTATTTGGGACCCTGCATAGGGAAATCACAAGGGGAATGGGGTCTTAGACACACACCAAATGCATTTGAGGAGCTGATTATACTGCCCGAACACTAATCAAATTAAACTAACCTGTTCCTCCTCATTGATGCGTGATAGCGCAGACAATGCACACTGATGTGTCATACAACCAGCCCATCCATTACCGATATATACTACTGAGCGAGGAGGGCCTAGACTTCCGGTGGCGCTTCCCTTTCCCCTTCCTCTGCCCCTGCTCCAGTCGTCAAAATCATTAATTATAAAGATCAAATTTCAGCGAAGGCAGCACGATACAGAGGGATTGAAATTGCAAATCAAACAAGTAAACAATGGGTTGCAGGAGAAATCGAGCAACCACAACTCAATAACGGATCAATAAAAAGATCTAGAAATTGAACTCACCGACGTTTGAACACAGATTCCTTGAAAATCTTCGTGCCCGTCCTCATCCGCAGGGCCTTAGACCTCACATCTTCACCCCCGTCCTTGGGTCTCGCCTTCCCCGTACTCCTTGTATTCATCGATTCAGAATCGGGATAAGGGTCAGTTTGGTCCTCGAAGTTGCAAAAAAGGGGTCAAATAAGTCCTTATATAGAAAATTCTGTCCGGACGTGCCATTTGAGGTGGCTCCCGGTGGAATTTTTTGATTAAATTTTTTAAGCATCTTATTCATTAAGTCTAGTTTATTCATACCAAATTTCAGATAAAAATTCAATCGGGAAGACATTCAAATGAATTCTTGAAGATAACTGCGCAGTTATTTTCAAGAATTCATTTGAATGTCTCTCCGATTGAATTTTTAGCTGAAATTTGGTATGAGCTAACTAGATTTAATGAATAAGACGCTCAAAAAATTTCCTCAAAAAATTCTACCGGGAGCCACCTCAAATGGCACGTCCGGACAGAATCTTCTATATAAGGACTTATTTGACCCCTTTTTTGCAACTTCGAGGACCAAACTGACCCTTTACTCATTCCGAATCTGTCTATCCCGATGCCAATGGACTCGTATATACCTAGTGGGAATGCAAGAGGGCGAATTATATTTTTAAAGGAGTTAGGAATATCGGATTGTGAATGGACGAAATTAACCCCTCAACCCACCTCTCCTAGTAGGGGTGGAAACAGGTCAGGCCAGACTTTCGCCTAAACAGGCCGGGCCCGTTTAAGAATGTATAGGCCTGAACTTACGTAGTGAAAAAATATTAAACCGCCACCGGACAAAAACCATACGCCAGACCTATACGGCGGCGCTAGAGAGAGAAACTTACGCAGTGAAAAAATATTAAACACTCATTATTCAACTGAATCTTTGCAGCGTCATCAGAATTCATAAAAGTTATTGACGGGCGAGGAGAGCATGTTACCTGTAAATGATGTAGATATTCTGAATATGTCATCATCAAATTTACAAAATAATGAAGGTTTACCATCTTGATTTTGTTTTAATATATACTACTGTATTAATTATATTTATTGTTTATAATTTATACGTAGTATTTAGGAACGAATTTTCTCTTTGTAGTCACTGTGCATGCGATTAGTTTCATAATATTTATTTTAATAATTTTAATTCCAATCCACAACTATGTTTCAGCCCAAGCTAGCATAGATGCTTTTAGCCCCAATTTCGTACATAAGATGATTTTAATTGGAAAAAAAATCTGATATAGTCTATTATGTTTAAGTCTTATATAGTCTTTATTATTTTGATCAAGAATTAAAAAGTAATAAAATGTACATATACCAAATTTTTAACGTACCCAGTGGTAAGCATCCTAAATTATCTTATTACAATATGACAATTTGCTAATTTATCTAATAATTCAAGAACCAATGTAACTTTTTATCAGACCTTATCTGTGATGCAACGCCTACAATAGGTCAACAATTTCATTCGCTAAATGATGCTCAAACTTTCTACAATGCATATGCAAAGCCGTTCGGGTTCGGTACTAAAATAAAAAATTCAACCGTTAATAGAACATGAGATATAACATGGAAAGCATTTACATGCTCCAAGGAAGGCCAAACAAATTTGTCTTCAAAGAAGACAAATAAAATTGCAATGGAAAGAAATTGGGGCCAAACTAGGCGTGAGTGTCACGATTTGTGGATGGTGTCACGATGTGAGAAGACCCATAACCATGAACTTGTAAGCCCTAGTAAGACACATT